CTCTGCTGAAGCATACTTGATTGCAGTATTTTCTGTCACAATTGACTCACTTGTTTCTGTATAATGAGGATGTTGTATGCTTTCTTCACTGTGCCTGGCTGTGAGATTAAGCATTTTCATTCTGCTCTCAACTCAGGTGTAAGATCATGAATGAAGATCTGTAAATAGAAAGATGTTGAAAGCTCTTCATTCAATATAAGATAGTGTAAGCTGAAGTGTGTGAAGTATAATGTAAGATCACTTACTTATCTACACTCAGTGAAGTGTTTATAATGCTTGTCTTGTGTGTTCACTTTCTCAAAGTTGTACAAGATTCACTTAGAAAACTCATTTCATGTTTATGAGAATGAATATTGCTTCAGGTCTGTGAGGTTCATCTTTTTATCAGTCATTTATAATGACTTCACTTTTCTGTGTAGAAACACAGCAGATCTTAAGACTTGTTAGAATTTCATTGACTGTCTGTCTGTAAGTTCACATTCAATCTGATAATATAATTGCATCTGACTTAGTCAGCTGATTGCAGCATCATTTTTTCAGTCATCATTAAAGCTTGATGACTTCAGCAGATCTTCTGACTTGATGTATTTCATACTCAGATTCTCATTCTGCACAGCAGTCTCTGATGATGTATATGCTTCTGAAGAGGTTGTGAATGATTATGATAAGATCTTCAGATTCAGTGTAGTTACCTGTCTGTGTAAACATTCAATCTCCTGCTGCAGATCTAAGATCTGGTTTTCTCTATTCTTATTGATGATGATGATTATGTCAGTGAAGCTCTTCATAGTGAATGCTTGATCTGCAGTGAATGTCAATTGTTATTTGACCTCTGCCTTGGCCTGCCACTGTGTACACAAGGCCTTGATCTCATTTAGAATCCTTGTACATGTACAGAGCTTTGATTCTGATTCAGTGATCTCAGCTGCTTTTCTTACTGCTTTGAGTAAACCCTCTGAGAGGTTCTGCATACCTTCCAGTTCAAGTAGCAGAGAAGAGTGTTGTTTGTATCAGCTAGAAAAGGTATTCATTTCAGTGGTTTCTCATTGATTGTATGATGTCTATCATTATCACTGTATCATTATATCACTATATCACTGTATTATTATATTACTATATTGTTATATTGCTATATCACTCTGTTATCATTGTACAACTTCAGTGATGATCATTCTTCCTTTTATCCTTCTTTTGAGTAGAGAGTGGACTTCTTTGAATCTGGTTCATCACTCTCATTCTCTTTCTCACATCTCATCTGTTTGTGTCTCATACATGGCATTCGCCTGAGCATGAAGTTTTCCCTCAACAAGCAAAGCAGCATTAATCAGATGCTCTTCTGCTCACTGCTCTTTGTACACTATCTTTTGAGATGTTCTAGGACCACACTGGCATGATAACTACAAATCACTTTGTAGATGAAATTATCACACCCTGGAGGAGCCTGCACTTCTCACCAGTTTTTAGACATGCTATCAGATGTGATTCAAAGGTTGCTTAAGCCAGTGTATGATTACAGGCGTACACCAGCTTCTTATATTGTAATCTCATACGCTAAATTAATTAGTGTATGCTATGGCCCCTTTACACTTGTACGCGTACGCTAGTAGTTCGGAAGCAGCCGCGGTATTATCCGACGGTTGTACGTTCTTCCGAACCACAACATGAAGTAATGAAAAAGAAGATTAAGATATTTGAACAGAAGAAGACATATATTGTCATTGAGAAGGCTCTGAAAATGAATATTCTTACAGATAAATGAGTATATGATCAGAAATTCAACAATAAGAGAGAAATCATTCACTTTAGAGCTCACTGAGTGATTAGAGAGTTCTTGCAACAGCAGAGTATTTATTATACAAGATTGTATACTGCAGTGATATCAGGGCCTACATCACATAGTCTATTTACTATATCAACTGCTAAAGAATGAAAGGTCAAATTGATTGACTATATATTCACATTTTTGAATGACATACTATCACAGAACAAGATGATCTATATGCAACTACTTATAGATGTTAAGTATAACAGAGAAGGCTTGATGAGACTACTCTGTCAGAGTCTATATGAAATGAAGTAAGCTGTGAGAATATGATATTTTCTAGCAATGAAACATCTCATCACATTGAAATTCAAGATATCACCTTATAATGATGAATTTCTATATCACTCTGTCTGCAAGATCTATCTGACATTGCATGTTGATAATTATCAGGTGACAGAATCTCAAGAACAGCAATTAGACTGAGTATTGAGAGAGATTGCAAAGAGATTTGAGACAAAGAATGTCAAAGAGACCAAGTCATATCTTGAGATGAAGATCAAATATCAGAGAAATGATGATCTAGCAGTTACACAGAGTCATTATATTGAGGAGATTCTTGAAGATTTCAGCATGAATAAGATGAATCTGACTGACACCTCAATAGCAGCCAGCATACAACTGGAATTCTCACCTGATGAGAGAGAGAGATTGAATGATGACTTTACAGCTACAAGATATCATCAAGGATTGAAATCATTGCAATATTTAGTCTCAAGCAGCCGGCCAGACCTGGCATTCGCGGTCAACTATCTCTCACATTTTAACTCACATCTGCACAAGGCATGTTGGGCAGTGTTGAAGCATGTCCTATGTTATGTCAAGAAGATGAGAAATCATGGCATATTATACAGAAAGGAGATTGGTGATGTGAGCCTGAGTTCTGTGACATACTGTGATTTGAACTGAGTGAGGGCAGATCCTCAATACAAATTGACTATCAGCTACATTATATTGATTAACAGGTCATCAATCTCATGGCAGTCACAGAGACAGACATCTATCATCAAATCAATTACAGAAGCTGAATATATTGCAGCTAGTGAGACAGCTTGTGAGATAATCTGATTGAATGATATGTTATATGATGCTGAGTTGATGAATGATGAAAAAGTGAAAATATGCTCACATCTACAAGTTGACAATAAGGGAGTAATTGATCTAGCAAAAGAGGAGTCCTTAACATGAAGATCGCATCACATCAAGATTAGATATCATATTCTTCATGATTTGATTGAAAAAGAGGAAATCATGATGAAACATGTTGATTCTACAGTGAATATAGCTGACAGGCTCATCAAGTCACTGATGAAGCCTGCATTTGAAGAATTTGTCAAGAGGGTTGACATTCAGGAAATTGAGAAGAAGGAATGATTGAATAGTAATGATGATACAGCAGATCAATGGATTTTGCATGTATTTCTTGATTTTTACAGTTATTGCCGTACGGATGCCTTTCCTAATGAGGAAATCAGGGTCTGATTGATGTAATTAATTATTATTGCATTTTTGAAAGATTTGAGGATGGGGGAGGCCTCGGGTGGCGGCTCATAGGCCATGGTGTAGCAAGGGGGGGTGTTGGTGATTACTACACCTACTCTAGTCATGTGCCACCCCAACCTATTCATTTAGTGTAACTCGCGTAGTTAGATTACAACACAACAACGTTATCCTCCAAGAAGTTATTCACTGTGGAATTAATTTATATATTTTTAAATCACATCAACAAGCATCAAACGCTCGCTTACGCTCGCTTTGCTGCTTGCGCAGCCCCCTCTATCACTTCCACCCTCTCTCCCGACCCCCCCCTTACCACCCCTACCACCCCTTCCACCCCTCACTCCCTCTATCACTTCCACCTCTCACTCCCTCTACCACCCCTACCACCCTCTTCCACCCTGTATCACCTCTATCGCTATTATCAGATTAATCAGAGCTGTACAGGCTGCAGAGCCGGCTGTTCAATTTCATTCATGAATTCAAAGAAATGCACATGACATCACATGAGATGTTACAGAGCATTTACACAGTGTAGCAGTGCATGCCATGAACACAGAGATCAAAAATGAACATAGAGAAGAGTATAAGGAATGTAAATACTGAGAATGTATGAAAAGAGCAGAATGAAAAAAAGAATGAAGATTTGAAGATTGATCTGAGCTGTATGAGCTGAAGAGCAACATTCAAATATTTTTAATAAGATGCATGTGATGTCTTGTTACAGCGTTTTTTACATGGGAAAAGTTTATCTCAGCAAGCTCAGACGCTTCTCCAGATATTTATTACTGTTTTAACACTGAATTGATGATTATGTTATGAGCTAACCTCAAATAAGCAATAAGCTAACTCAAATAGTAAAATCAGGTCATGTGAGTGATGATATCTTGTGAAGCATCTGAGAAGAAATGATTTCTGATTGTTAGCAACACAGGAAGGATTTGCTCAGTACTCTGAGTATGAAAGAGAATTTCAACTCAACTTCATAGATTCATCATTTCTGTATCATCTTGAAACCTTAGAATAACAATGTTCTCGCGATGTATCTGATTTTTATATTCATATCTCAAGTTCTTAGAATAGAAGTATCATCTCAAAGTTGATCAGTGTGTTTTTAAACACAGGAATTTTGATTCAATTTCTCATATAAAAAAAAGCTCTTAGAAATTCTGAGATCAAAAAATATGATCATTTTCAAGAGTATACATCTATCTTAAATATAGATTTTTTTGAAATATTAAAGAAATATTTCTATTCTTCTTCTCTTTAGCTATAAGCTAAGGTGATTTTCAAATCTCAAAGATATGTGAGTATATAGTAATAGAAAGTCAAAGTTGAAGAATCTGAAAAATCCTTGTAAATCTCAGGAATCTCCATTAAAGATGGAACCATTTCTTCTCAGACTCTCTGGCGAGGATTGCTCTGAGCACATGACTTGTATCAAAAGTAGGTTAGTGTCATGCCGGATTAACTAGTTAATAATAATGCTGCAACCCGTTCAAACCGAGCCAGAGGTCTGAGCCCGCTGAGATAAGGAAAAGTTGGTTTTTCTATAGTTAATAAATAGAGAGATAGTTTGAAAATTTTTCAATATTAAAAACAGTGAAACACAATTTGTTTATAAATGATTTTAAAGCATGATTAAATTAGTTAATAAATTTTATTATTAAGTTAAATCAGATTATTCTTTTTTTCAACTCAGTTAAAATATATTGCATTCACTTATTTATATTTATATCTATTTACAAAAATGTCTCATCTCTCATCGAAAACTAATAAAAAATCTCACTTAAATAAAAATCAAAATAAAATCAGAAAGAAAAGAAAAATAAAAGAAAATAGAATAGCATGCTTCTGCAGTTTTCCCTTGTAAAAACAATGTTACTTTTTCCTCACCGCCCTCTCATTTTGCTCCTTGTGTTTTGCTTCCCTCACTGTTTCGCCCTGTTGCTGCTGTTGTTGTTTATATCCCATCCGCCTTGGCCCTGTTATGCATAATCTACGCCGAGATGTAAATGAATCAACTCCCTCTCACTCTCGGTTTTTCTTTAGGTGTCTGTTGTGGGCTACCTAATTACCACTTCGAATCCCTCTCCAATCTTTTCCGTTTTTGGCCCCCTTCGTCTGTCTTTCTCGTTCCGCAGGTAAGTATTATCAGATCAGGAGTTATGTATAGTTCACTACCATCAGCGGCGGGAATGAAACGGCACAAAAAAAAAGTTAGAATATAAAAAGAAAAGAATATAAAAACATCGAGAAAGAATAGAAAAAAAAAACCCTTTCTTATTAAGTTTTGTCCTGTTCTTTCTTTTTTCGCTTTCCCTTAGATATTGATATTTGATATTTTACATGGTAGCCCCAGTTGCGCCGCCGTCGACAACATTATCAGATAGGTTAATCAGAAGTTGCGCTAGACAACGTTTGGTGGCTGCGTCGTCCCGAAGGACTGATGAGAAAGTTGCGTCACGAAGTGGTTCTGGAAGACATTGGCGGAGGGCCTCGCGGGCGCGGTTATTATCGCTCAGACTAGTGGATATTAGAGTTAGACCGGCAAAACCATTATTGGGTGCAAGAAGCGCGGGTGAAACGGGGGGGAAAATGACAAAAAGGATGGTGGTAACGACATACCGAAGAAAACAACGAACAACATGCTTGAGTAACCGAACGGTCTGCTGCTCGACAAGTTGGGTGACCATATTACTGAGGACAGTCCCGACAGCGTAAAAACGTTCATAAGTGGCACAAATATATGCAAGGCCGATATCATCTAGTAAGATCTTTTGTACAATGAAAATGGCAACGGTTTTGCTGAGTTCCGAACCTGTCTCCATGATGCGGAGACAGAGGGGGATGATTTCGGTGGTGAGGAGGAAGTTTATAACATCTGACGAATCATTTTTCACGAGGGCGCCAATCACGCCAAGGGAGGTTAGACGGAGATATTCGAAGGGGCGGGATTTCGAGGTCGTGTTGAGGAATGGATAGAGGAAGAGAGGGATATGGGCTATTTCGAATATGCCCAGTCAGCAAGCGGTTCTCACGATGTCTTTATTTGAGTGGGAAAGGGGAAGAAGAAAGATATTTGGTACCATTCAAGAAAAGCGTGCGTGTCTCATTGTGCGACGCCACACATTGTAGGAGAGCAAGGGCATTGCAGACCCTATTCGAAGCCGCAGCAGTCAACTGCGATGGATTTAATAGCGGGTAGACGGATATGATCTCCTGTAGCAGAGACGTCATGACACCTGTTCCAAACACGCCGGAAAAAAAGAAAAGCCCGAATCAGTATACTTTCAACCAAATAGAATTAGACATAACCAAACGAGCCAGACAGGCAGCAAAACAATATCAATCGCCATCCATGAATATATTTTTAAAAAATACATACCAAACGAATGCCATATTATCAACGCCAACTCAGGCACCTGTTCCCGCTTCTTGCTCAACTCCATCAGGGCCGTCTCCCGTCGAGCCGGATCCATAAGCTCTGCCACCCACACGAGCACCCTCCGGTTCTCTTCGCTGATACCGCCATCCATGTTTCCTGCAGCACCCCCGGCGGCAGCACTTGCACTATCCGCACCTGACGACGGCGTAACCTGGCTATTATTTGCACCAGCGGCAGGGTTATTGCTACTACTGCTACTGCCGTTGTTGTTGTTGCTATTATTTAGAGCTATACGACTGTAATGTTGGTGTTGGGCGACAGCGGCAGCGGCAACTGCGGCCTGCGCTTGAGCATGCTGCTGCGCAGCAAGGGATGATTGGGGATGGGGCTGCTGGGACTGCGCCTGTTGTTGCTGTTGCTGTTGCTGCTGTTGCTGATAGTGGGAGGCCTGCTGCTGCTGCTGTTGTTGCTGGATCCACGAAGCGTCCGTGGCGACGGCGGCGGCGGCGGTGTGGGGATACTGTCCGTGCTGGTGCGAGAAGACGTGCTGGGACTGAGCCTGTAGCATTGCGAAAACGGGGCAGGGGGGAAAATATCACCACCCTGGGGAGCTTGTCCCCGAGTGAGTAGCTTTTAGGAGACGCTCCTAGGGGTGACAGGGGGTGAAGGGAGGAAGGGAGATGATTGGGATGGCAAGTAGACGAAGGATATATAGGTGTCGGTTGGAGGTGTGTAAGCTAGGGAAGCAGCAAGCTGGGTGTGAAGAAGCGTATGCTGACGGTGACGGTGACGGTGACGGTCAGGGAGGCTCACGGCGGCTAGCTCGGCGCTGACTCGGCTCGGGATGACTAATGATCCGAGTAGCGCCTGAACCTTCGCCTAGCTAGGGGTTTCACGGAGCTACATGCGATTATTATACTCCGTATATTAGGAGGATTTCAATACAGCATCATTTCACACCTCGTATATATTTACTCCATCCCAGCTCCATAGTTACATACATAATCCTATTTCCCATATCCTCAAGCATCCCATATCCCATAGATTCATAAAACCGTCAAATCCATTAACTGGCGTATATCTATAATCCATTATCTCCTTAAAGGATCTCCTCCATAACAGCAGAAAAAGTACGAAACAAGAGAAGAGGGTTCCCAACATTATATACATCAAATTCGGAACAGGTCGTTTCATAAAAAATAACATTTAATAGTGATTCGTCTCCCATTGTATCATTGAGGAACAAAGAAAGCCTAAACTCCGTTCCCTTGGCAAACATAAGAAATAGATAGAAAGAGAAGGAAAAAAGACAGACGAAATAGGGGACAAAGGATCTCCACATGAGGTTATTTGGGAAGATTTATAGGGACCTCGACTTGATCAGCGGTGGGGTGGACAGGTTTCTCATCCAGGGCAAAGCTTCAGAATCGGAGAAAGGGGGAGAGTAGAAAAGAGGTGGCGAGAGAGAGCAACATCAATGCCTCGTTGACCTCGACCTCGATCTTGAAGAAGGAACCTTCGACCGCTTTGATCTGGGCGGTGGTGAGCTACCTAAAAAAAGGGAGACCAACAGCAGTGAGCACATGGATCAAGGGGAACTCTATAAAACACATAAACAGATTAAACAAGTGTGAGAGATTGGCACTTACTGCTGCTGCTGCTACTATAATCATAGTAATAGTACGAATCGGAATAACCTGAACTGGGCGATTGTTGCTTCTTCTTACTCCGCAGCCCCAGACAAATTGCCAGAGCGCCCAGAACAAGCCCTATACTCGTCCACTTCCCCAGACCAAACAGGCCGGACTTCTTCGACTTCTCAGTGTAAGACGAGTACGAGTTCGAGTACCGCGCTGGAGGCGGGCGGGATGGGCGGTACCCAAACCAGGTACGGCCAGGTCGCCCGTCGCCATCGGAGAACGAATGTGTCGTACTGGAGCCGCTCTCTCTTTTCTTCTTGCCCAGCCCCAGCAGTGCCAGAATCGCCGCGATGGCGCCTTTGGCGCACGCGGACAAGCAGATGAGAAATAAGAGGAGGACGCCGAAAATGACACCGATGACGATGCCTGCGATGGCGCCACCGCTGAGTCCCCCGCCGCCCGTCGAGGCTGCTGGCGGTGGCAGCGGGTTGCCGTCTGTGCCAACTGGAGGGAGGAAGGGGACGGTTGCGGTCGGCATGGTGGTGATGGTTGCGTCGCCCGAGCTGGTTGGTCTGGAGGGAGGGGTGGGGGAAGGCCCTACGGTGGGATCGAAGGGGGAGCTTCCTGCCTCGACGCATTGGCCTTCAGATTTGCATGCCTGAGCGGCCGTGCAGCAGATGGTGCCGCAGGCGGATTCACCAAGTTCGAGTTGGCATTGGATCTGGCTGCTGGAGGTCGGGGCGGCAATGAATCTGCTGCCCACCGATGTCACGGTGACTAGGTCTGTGCGGACGAATGTGGTTGTGAATGTTTCCCATTGACCCTCCGTAGCGCGGGGTTTTCCGACAGAGGTGGAGTCGATGCAGATGGCTTGGTTGTTGGCGTTTGTGGTGCAGATTTGCGAAGTGGTGCAGCACTCTTGGCCGTAGAAGCCGCAGGGCTTGCAATCGCGACTGGCGAGGCCGGTGTTGAAATGTAGGGGGAATGGGAATGCGTGTGTCGTTAATGAAGGTGATTGCGAGAGGATTGATAGTATAGCTAAGGCCGCTGAAGATATCCTGAGGCGGCGCATTGCTGCTGGCGGCCGGATCTGCGAGAAGTATAGGCAAGCGCAAAAAGTATGAGATGATGGTCGTCTCTCTCACCAAGCACTGTACAAGTACAGCTTGGGTTTAGAGAACCAGCAACCCAACTGGGCCTTTCTGAACAGAATTCCTGCGGCAAACTGCTATAGGAAGATCGTGAAGGTAAATAATTGGTGAGGTGGGGTGTTTTATCGATATCCAGTTTCCCTCAGTTCTCGCTGTCAATGCGCTTTGGTTGAGTCTGGACACACCAGTTCAAATAGAACGAACAATAGAAGCCAGGAAAATATAAACAAGAAAAGAAAAAGAGACAGAGAGAAAACAAGATCAAGGAACAATACAGAAGACAAAAAAATAAAAAAGTGATGGGCGATATCAGTTGTCTTGTCTTGTCTTGTCCTGTCTAAGACCCAGCCCTTTTCTTTTCGTCCGCTCCCAGCCACCATTTCTTCCTTCACATCGTCCAAGCTTAGTTACTGCGTAGTGGTAGCTAACCCAACCCAACCACCCGGATTTTTTCAAACCAACAGCCAACCCCAGTAACCTATACTCCGTATAATTAGTGGAGTGAGATTATCATAATAATGAAAATAAATAAAAGAGCGATAAATGACAGGGGAAATTAGATGATTGCGGACGCAACCGTTCGTTCTATGCGCCGGCGGTGGAGGTTGTGTGTTGTGTCAATTGCTGGTGCGCCATCTGGCGGGCGGGGAAAGCGAGCTTGCATTGTCAACTTGATAGGACCCTGCCATGCCAGGGCCTGGAGACAGTCGGAGCTAAAAAGATGGCCACTGGGAACATGCCAGGGCAGAGACAGCAAGCAAGTGGGCTGTACGGAGTAGAGTACATAGAATATAGGAGAATGTCTCCCTCCTCCCTTCATTGACTTCAACGCTACTACTATATTGATGAAGTGAGGTTGGTGACATTGTTGATGATTGCTCCGGCAACTGCAGTCACGTGTGCCACATTATTCTTGGAGGATATTGTGTGTAATCTATCACATAAGAACGTTATCCTCCAAGAAGTCTTGTTCCAAGGTAAGGTTGACGGTTGACATGTAACTAACCTGGCGTAAACAGCAAACTCTGAGTCTCTGACTGACTGGGCGCTGTGGAAACTTCGCGGGAGCACGGGCCGCAGAGGGAACCTACCGCACGCAGGAATCTTCTGGCTGGCCTTGTTACCTCCTCCTGCGCCCAACTATGAATGTTATATGTAATGTACATACGGAGTCCATATACAAAACAACAGGAGGAACTGGGTAGAGCCGGACATATATTTTATATGGATGATTTGACTGGGACTGGGACTATCTGATATTCAAAAGGTTGGAAATAGAAAGTAGCCAAAGGCAGTAAGTACTGAAGAATTTCCACTTGGAAGCTATAAAATATTCACATATACAATTGTCGTCAGGAGCCATGGTAATATATCCTTAGCTCTCAGCACTGATGAGAAAGAGACAATAATGAAAAGAAGGAGTAAAAGAGCAGAACATGGGGAAAAAAAACTGAAAATAAAAAAAAGCTAAAATAATCAGGAACAAAACTATAAACAAAACCCATCGTCATGTAAAGCAAAATATAGAAAGAAAAATATTAAACAACCATCCCGGCAATCGCGACCGCAACCCCAACCACAATATCATACAACAACCCACCACCGCCCCTCGCCGCAACACACCCAGATCCCACCCCATCCCTAAACGCCGTACAATACCCCACCTGCAACCCATGACACGCCTCCGTGCTCAAACTAGAGCACACGGATACCGGATTCCCGGCCGTCGGCTGCACGCCTGGTACAGTTATACCGCCCGCACCCCCAATCGTCACGCCATTCACTCCGCCCAGCGACGCCGTGCAGCTGGAGTACTGCACCTGGCAGTCTGTGTAGGCGGAGACGCAGGCGTCCTGGTTTGAGAAGGTGGTGGGGATGATGGGGAAGGGGAAGAGGGCGTTGGGCACTACTGGGCGGGTGCTGGTGGGGTCTGTTGGGGGCGTGGTGGTTGCTGAGGTGCCGGGTTGGGGGAACATGAAGCCAGAGGAGGAGGTTTGGGCGGAGTCTGTTGTGGTTTGTATATGGATTGTCAGGTATAGAATGGAGGGAGTGGAGATGATGGGGGGGGGGGGGGTGGTATGTATATACGCACCCGACAAACGGCCCGTACACGCCGCCCCGCTAGGACAGCAGGCGATGATATTCGCATCGTCGCGCGAGCAGACAGCCTTGGGATGACAGCATGCCTCCGGCGCACCGAGGAGGGCACAGCTGTTGAATCCAGCTGGACAAGTCCCCTGTCGCTTTGCCAGTGCTGCGGCCTCCTTCGCCCTGCGGCTATCGAGGAGGATGAGGTTTGCATTGTTATTATTATTATTATTATTATTAGTATTAGTATTAGTATTAGTATTATCGTTGAATTGCGGTTGATAGAAGGGAAAGGTGTCTGAATTGGTATTATCGGCGCCGGCTGGGGTCAGGAGCAGCAGCGGGAGGAGTGAGAGGGTTTGTAGTCGCATTGCTTCTTCGTCGTGAATCGGCGGGTAAGGACCCCGCGGGGATGGAGCGATTGATTTATATTATATCGGGTACGAATGGGATATCGATTGGGGTATAAAGTGGTGGTGATATACGCTTCGGCTTCGCATGGATGACTTTGCGTTCTGTCAGCTCGTAAACATATACGGAGTATACATGCTTCTGTTGAGGATCGCCTGGAAAGGCAATGTAATCATGGTAGGGATCGATGAGATAGGAAATAGATGGATGCGATCGATGCAATGCCTCATGATGGATGATATTATTATCCATAGTTAGACATAGTGACAAGGAGCGGGCATAGTTACCAAGTAGTTACTCAAGAGAGCGATTGTTTGTCGCCAGATGGGCTCAGACTCCGCTGAAATGTTGTTTATTCAACCCGATCTACAGCAATCTCATTTATTATTATCAAGCAAACGTCGTTAACCTATTCCGGATCCTTCAAGGTATTTTGAGTAAATTAACCGAAAAAAAAAAGAAAAAAGAAGGAAACATGATTCAAACCGATCGCAAATCCGCAAGAAACCACTTCGGCTTCTCCCCCACCGCTGCAACCCTAGCGATGCCACGGCAACCAGCCGCCAACAAACTCCCAAGCGCCATTAAATAAACCCACAACCACTGGGATTGAAGAACCAACCAGCAGCCAACCAATGCGACCTGTCAGATGGCCAGCCAACCAGAAAGAAAACAAAATCTCGAAGCTGGAATTGACACAGTTCTCTGTCAGGGTATGCGACCATGCAGCGCTGGCCCAATCCCACGATGCAAGAACCGAACTACCTAGTTCGTTGTGTTTTCATCTCATGAACCCATACAGATTAATCAGTGCCGGAGATAATCTGCTACGTTGTTTCGAGCCAGGATTCAGTTCGTATTACCTGTGGAAGTGGTGGTTTCTCCATTGCTATAGAGGGGATTCCAACTAATCGTGTGCGGCGCACGTTGTGTGTACAGTACGGGATACAGAAGCAGAAAAATACCCCAACATTCAGTTCAAAATTGTGAGCTTGAGCTAGCCGTAGAAAAAACCTTTCCCGAAATCTATAGAGTGATATGGATATAAGTACTCCGTATCAGAAAAGAAAGTCGAAACCTGGCCCCCGTCACAACACCCAAAGCCAACTAGGTTGGCACGATTAACCCCCTGATCGCGCGAATGCCATGCTCTGAACTATGATGTTGAACCTGATAGCCCTGGCCACGGAATCTCTTTCATGTCTGGCAGGTGTGGATTCCTTCGATATCGATTTGCGGGTATCCAGAACTGTGTTCAATTCTGCAACGTGGGCTAGGATATACTGTACTCTACAAACCTTTATGGAGGCACATAGTGGAGTGAAGCTACTAATCTGCTGTTAAACATGTGAGGATACCTTACATTTCCCAACTGCTGTCTCTTGGAAAGGAGGACGTTTCCAGTCTTTTCTTTCTTCCTTTTTTCGAGGTAGATCCAATATGTTCGCCTCGGTTCAGTTAACTAAACCCAGGAACCCGAGGTCCTAAGTTTAAGGAACCATGGTGAGTTCGAAACCAGCTCTATCGACGCCCAGTTCCTTAACATCAAGGAAATTAATAGCAGCCAGGAGCCGTTTCAACATAGAACACTCTGACTCAGGCGCGATAAGAGGTGCAAATTGCAAGCTTGCCACGTTTTTCTCCCGTTTCTCGAAGGATGGGCTTTAGTCATTTAGCTCAAAAAATGTCGGTCAGCTCAACCTGCCTCTATATCGCTCAACATGATATGTTGACATCAGACTTCCAGTTCTAGGAATGTCGAACTGGAGCCTGACAGCAATTAACCCTTAGCATACTCAGGCTATTAACAGCCCTCAGTATGTTACTGCCTTGGCTACTAGGAGTGTCAACGAGTAGGGGGCAAGGCAAAAGAGGGCTTTCTTTTCAGGGACTGCTATCTCCAGCTAGTTACCGGGGCCCAGCTTCACAACCAAAAGCTAAGCTACATACTAGAAAAAAAATTCCGAGATGTCTAAAACTAGTTTGCGTCTTGTGTTTCCCTGCCGTCTGCCGTCTGCCACGAGGCGATGCGCATTCTACGGCGCGTGCAGCAACGGAACTTGAGGCGCCTGGTTCTCCAGGCTTCAGAAGAGCAGGGCCTTCACACGCAGAAGCTTGCTATCCATTATCGGGAAAGGTGCAAAATCAATCGAAGGTAGGAAGACAACAAGCCACAATGTTTTGAAACATATGCATAGCTGCGGATATAGACCTAGCGGCTCCGAGATTATCTCATTTCACACGCAATGGCGACTAGGTGGCCGTTATTTCGGCAACCAGCAGTAAGTACAGCAGGAGAAAGAAGCTATGCTTGTTTAGCTTATCCCGGGCTGCATCGCATATATACGCGCATTACGCAGGCTCGGGTGGATCGAATCGAAGGCTTTAAGTTCTCCCAAGCGAAGACCTCCCCTGTCTTTGAGCTACACTATGATAAGAGCGTTTCCACCAGTCGATCCTGGGATTGTGAGAACGCTCCCAGTGTGGTGTCACAGCCGGGAATTGCTATGACAGGCGCCGAACAGGACAGTGTCTACGACATCAGAAAGAGATATACCAAACGAGTCAAATGATGAACGGCTGTTTGCCAATTTATTTTTAGTCCCTTCATTACCTACAAGCTCTCTTTGAAGAAAAAGCTTGAATAAGAGCTTGACACAACATTCTAATGCTCCACTTTCACCCTTCATGTACTTTTATATATCCTATCGAATGTCGCTCGCCAGTTCTCATAAGAACTTGAAAAGTATCGACATATGTACGGCAAGACATGGACGAGAGCACAGACGAGTTGATCCGACCTGAGGATTTCCCCCTTCCAAATAGGTCTCAAGAGTCGTTATGCTCGCAGGAGCTAATTAGTTGGAATATCACTCCGCCGCTTCCTGCTCTGCATGACCCTACTCAGCAGTTAGCACCGCCTGCGCCTCTGTCATCGATACCGAGTAATGTTCCTCCGTCAACGTTAGATGAAACTCAGCAGCTGGGCAAAAATGAGTGGGAATCTATACTTTTATTTTTTACTCTGGCAATAGTGGCTTTTGTCGGTGCGCTGGATGCGACTAGTCTACCTATTGCTCTTCCAGTACGTATAAAATAATACTCATACAAACTACGCTCTGGGAACAGCATGAAATTCTAATTCTCTTCTTCCTTTCAGACTATTGCGCGAGAATTTAATGCCAGCACCAGCCAGTCATTCTGGGTAGGAATATCTTTTCTCCTCACGGTCGTATTATCCCAACCAATTCACACGGGACTGTCCGGTATTTTTGGGAGGAAGGAGATTCTTTACCTGTGCCTCCTATACTCCTCTATTGGCTCCGTCATAGCCGGCTTCTCTAAAAGCATATATGTCCTTATCGTTGGTCGAGCTTTGCAAGGGTTTGGCGCGGGTAGTCTAGAAACACTGTCTGAGGTCATTCTGGGAGACTTCACAACGCCAGAAGAACACTGCCGCTACTTAACTATCTTCGGCTTTATCTGGGCAGCGGGCTTCGCATCAGGTCCCTTGATCGGGGCTACCTTTGCAGAATATGTAGATTGGCGTTGGATTCCCTGGATCAACATACCACTCCTAGCAATCCCTATCATGCTTGTCCTCATATTTCGCATACTCAAACCGATCAAATGTCCCCTCCGGTCCCAGCTTGGCCAAATCGATTGGCCCGCGATAGCCCTCTTTATACCATCTCTCAGCCTTCTCACCGTGGGGGTGACCTGGACTGGCTCACAGGACCAATGGGACTCGATCGCAACTGTCGTCCTCCTAGCCCTCGGCATCCTGTTCCTAGTCATATTTATCATCCGAGAAGGCTATGCCCGCACACCTATATTCCCCTATTGGCTCCTCACTACTAGGAGCGGATTTGTCAGTCTATTCGGAGCCTTCATGCACGGCGCAGTCTTGTATTCAACTAGTTTCTTCATCCCGATTTACCTCCAAGCCACCGTCCAGCTTAATCCCGTCGCTGCAGCTACCAACATGCTACCTCTCTCCGTTCTCGTCCCCGTAATGGCATTGGCCACTACCTTCGCAAGTAGGCATTTGCATCACCATTATGACTATTTCATATGGACCGGCTGGTTCCTCACTACGCTGGGCATCGGCATCCTAATCCTCCTCGATGGCAAAACCAATACGGCCAGCCGGCTTGGTCTGCAAGTCCTTGGCGCCATGGGCTTAGGTATCCTGCTCCCTGCCCTAGGTATCCCGTTACAAGAACGAACAGATGGCGAACAACAAACCGAAGCCACGATGGGCAATTTTATTTTCGCCCGCCAGCTCGGAGCAGTCGTGGGCGTTTCGCTCGGTTCACGCGTGTTTTCGAACGCGTTCTCGGTTGATGTTGCGAGGCTTTTACCTCTGCCCGAGGCGCTTTCCTCGCTTAGTGATGGGAGTGCAGCGGTGAATTTTATCCCTTCACTAAAGAATTTGGAGCTTGTGGTTGATGAAAGGAGGGCGATTACTGGTGTGTATGAACGCGTCATAAGGACTGTGTGGATTGTTATCACCGTCCTCAGTGCGTTGGGATTGCTATCCAGCATCCTCATCCGTGAGTTGAGGGTGGGAAGGAAGGATAGTGGGAAGCAGGCACTGCAAGGGTGATGTTTTTGCTATTGCGAGGTTCTGATGAGCAGTTCCCATTTTACCTTGGGGATTAATGCTTGATAAAATCTTATCTTTAATTATCTATTAACCATAGAGAAACACCTAATTTGCAAAATGATTTGAAGCTTTCCCTCTACGGCACGTCTACGCCCAAACAAACTACATAAACTGGTTGGTTGCTTTGCGTAGAGAAGAAAGAGGCAAAAGGCAAAAAAGAATAAAATCGAATTCATTGTTAGAAGCCGAAGGAATCTAGGGACAAACGTTCCAATTAGGAAACCGGGGATGTAAGTACAGTTGACCCTTGCTAAGTAACAATGACTATACTGAGTCATGAAACATAACCGATGCCATTAACCCGGACCGGCAGTGTATGTAAGTCACGGCAGGAGATCATTCCATATAGCCTGCAGAATCCCAATGGGCCAAACCATAGGCGACAAGATCGGTCATAAGCTTCCCTCCTGCAGAGACATCATGGTAAGAACTTGAGTCTTCCATACCATTACAACTGCCAACCTCCTCACTACAATCCTTCTCTCCCCCACTGCAAACACCCACAATTGTCGGCTGCCCATCAATATACTCCCACATCGGTCCACCAGACCAGCCGGGTGAGGCAAACGTTCTAGCCTCCAATTCCTTCCCAAGACGCCCATGGAAATCAACGTCGAGAAGCCTAATATCCGCCAAAAGCATCTGCTCATCCCCCTGAAACGCATCAGCCGGGTATCCGGAACTCCTCCATGACCGATCCATGTAGAAATCCGCATCCTTCCACCACCTTGTACCCATCCAACCAGCCCGGTCCCCAAGCGCTTCACACAGCTGGCAGACGATATAGTCAATTCCGGTGACGTTGAATGTATTTTTCACCCCGCGGCATCGCGATATGTAGGAGCTTCCATATGGCTCAGAGCCATTGCCATACCCTGGTGAAAATCTCATCCATCGATCTCGACCATACCCCCACGGAAAGCAGTGGCTGGCAGTGAGTATGAGATTCCTCCCCACGAGGGAACCCGTACACCACCCTCCCGTATCGGTTTTGAAGCGCTGGAAGGAAACCCGGCCGATCGTGCTCCATGGATAGGTCGTGAGATTTACAACTTGGTCGCGATAGTAGAGTCCCGTATTGTTAGAGTTGGCTTTCGAAAGCCTATCAGCATTTTCTGCGGTCCAGGGGATTATTGGAGGAGGAAAAGCTTCGCCCAGGTGCGCCTGAATCGGACTGTATCCAGGCGTGCCCCCAGAATCTGCATCTAGGGTGCTATCTGGCTTGTGATTGCCGGTATTCCAAAACGAAGAGCTCGCAACATGGTCTAAATCAATTTGTATCAATTCTTCGGAATCTAGGTTGGGAATGCTAGAAGGTCCCCCGCAGAGCTTCCTGCTGTCTTTGAAAAGAGGCACGGCTGTGACAGAGGTAATGATAATGAAGTGAAAGACGAATCGAGTAACTGAATGAAATAAACGCATTTTATGCTCATAGAAATAGTAAGGAACGGTCAGCCATCAGAGACTATTGATATGTGGAACCCTCATATCAAATGATTGAATCGGGAGGCTTCAAACAGAGGGTCGCCTACAGGATGTGTGCCCAACGGTCCAATTGATATATGATTCTCATGATATGTAATGAGAGCATCATCGCACCTTCAGAACAACATAACAACAGAATAGGCACGGCTGCCGCAGCAGTTTTGGAAGTAGTGCACCTCTGTCACGCTTGCCCGCCCTTGTTCACACAGAAATATTATTATCTATGTGAGCCATCTCGCTCAGAGATGCTCAAGGTAATTCCAATGGAACGCCATAGCCAAATTGCATCTAGAGAATTGAAAGAAGCGAGAAATGAAGAAATGAAGAAGAATAGAAGTAGTATCAGCTAACACCAGAGCAGTTTCTGAGGATGTTGTGTTTCGGTAGGCGCCAGGTGATAAAGGCTATATCTCCGTGCTTGTTGACTTCAACTCAGCTTCAAACTGTGCGGCATCCAAATAAACCCACAACACTGACTTGTCGTCAGCAAGCGCTGAACCTGAAAAGACCCGGTTGATTAGTTGAGCGAGCATGCTCAAGTGTTGGCTCAACTGTTAATAAGCCTAGAACCCGCACGGCACGTCCTTAAACAGTTGGAGGAATCCAGTAAGTTAGCTGTCTGTACCGGCGGTAATTAAACCAGCTCAACGGCTGAGTTATTTTGATGTAGAACAGCTATGCGCTTTTTCATGGTATGAGTATAGAGTAGAGTATCCTATTGTCGATAACGGATTGGATTGCCTTTGCCGATGTGCGGATCATTGGTCGGGCCGAACACCAGCTGGTTTCAGCCTCCTTCATCCACTCCACCCCTGAATTTCAACGTGCTGTAACTTACTCCGTACATCGTTAAGGAGGACTGGAACTCCAGCACGATCCATTTTCTCAGCCCAGCGGCAAGCGCAACAGCTAATTCCTCCTTCTCCCTCTTCACTGGGCAAGCCGAGTCATGTTGGCGTGAAACACTAAGCCTCCCACGTTCCTCCTATTCTTCGAGTCAATGGGGATTTAAAGCGTGGTCCCTGTTTCAAGAAGCTCCGTCCGATGTGGATGAGCTACCCCATTAGTACGGAGTAAACTGTTTCCGAGTGTTTCATGTTATGTTTCTTTTGATGTGGTCCAGATACATCGATGGCCGTATCTTGTCACTGGCCCATAACATGCTGATGTGGGACCTCTTACTTTCTCCCAACGGTCAATGATGGCGCCAACTGCTCGGGATATGTATGTACGGAGTACAGGCATCGTGGTTGGAGGGGGAAATCCCCATCCCAGGGTTTTTGACCACAATCCTCCGAGGGCTTACCCAAACGACGTCTCTGAAAACTCCCAGGGCACCAATTGGATGTTCTGACTCCCGCTATAGCCGTTTGTGAATGCCATTTCTTCGGCTTTTTTTTTACTCTTGATACGGTTTATGCCGTATCGGATCCATTCAAAAACCCGTGATGGCGGATGTTTGCTCCATCTACTGATATATAAAGCTCCTATTTCCGCTCATCTTAGAGGTTTCAATTTTTCGTTCCAATTAACTGTGTTTACTTTCTTCGTTTTTTACCACACTCTTTTCACGCCCAGGTTGGCATCTAGATCTTCACAAGCCTCATTGACTGAAGCTTTAAGTTCCTCTCTCACACCATCTTTCGATTCTTACTTGTTTTACGTCAATCGTTTTACATCTGCCCCAAGCACCCTCTTGACATCATGTCAATCTTCAAACCTGCTGCCCTTATTTGGGCTCTTGCGTCCCTCGCTCTTGTTGACGCCCATGGAACGGTTACAGGAATTCTTGCTGATGGCAACTAGTATGTGATTTCGGATTTATCCTCTTCAAAGAAAAATATTAACCCTCTCTAGCATTGGAGGCTACCTAATTGGCAAGTACCCTTACATACCAAACCCACCGGCCGTTGCCGGCTGGTCCACTACCGCAACCGACAATGGATTCGTGGATGGAAGTTCATATACTAGCCCTAATATCATTTGCCACCGTGACGCCCAGCCAGGAGCTGCAACTGCGGAAGTATCTGCGGGGAGCACTATTGAATTGCAATGGACGGAGTGGCCAGAAAGCCACCATGGCCCCGTTCTTGACTACTTGGCCAACTGCAACGGGGACTGCTCAAAGGTTGACAAAACCTCCCTGGAATTCTTTAAAATCCAAGAAGCTGGCCTAGTCGACGGAAGCAAAACTCCGGGTAAATGGGCATCCGACGATCTAATTGCGAACAACAACACTTGGAGACTCACTATTCCCTCGACCATCGCCCCGGGAAATTACGTTCTCCGACATGAGATCATTGCCCTTCATTCTGCACACGAAGATAATGGCGCCCAAAATTACCCCCAATGTTTCAATCTGAAAATCACAGGTAGTGGAACCGCCAACCCGCAGGGAAAACGTGCAACCACCCTCTACAAATCGACCGACCCTGGTATCAAAATTAATATCTACAATCCGTTGAACGGTTATGAAATCCCTGGTCCAGTCCTGTTCAATGGCGGAGAGTCTGGAAATGATCAAGGCCCAGGTCCAAGCGAGCCTTCAGCCCCAGTTCCCAGTCCGTCAGCTTCCCCTACTGCCACGGCAGATGTCACGCCAATCACGCCAATAGTCACACTATCTCCCGATGCGACTCCTAGCGTCCCGAGTAGTGCGCCTGCCATACCCACAGTCACCGGACGGTGTTCAGCGCGGTACAATAAACGATTGCAAAGACCTCATCCTCGCGAATTTAACCGTCGTCGCTGACAGGTGTTTGCCGGAATCTAAATGTGTTTCGACGATTTCCATTCTTTTTACTAGCTGGAGTTTTGCCTTTCTGCATATAGCTAGAACTATTTTCATTATGCTACCCTGTCTGATTCAGGTCCGATTCAGCCCTCAACTTCGTCTTATATCATAGTGGAGTGTGGAACCAGACCCTAATCCCCGTGTAATCTGTAAGTAGATGTAGTAGTTATCGAAACGGGTGCTAGAGTAATAACGGGAATACGACAACGAGAATTATTGTTCGAATATATCTCTTCAAATCAGCTCCATTGAGTAATAGAATCAATCAATTCCCCGTTGCCGTTATTTCTTTGCATTCGATTCAGTCTTTCTAGTGGGGAGTTTCGGCCAGCTACATTACTAGCCACGACGCCCATGAGTCAGCATCCCTACTCTGTTGTTTGGAAGCTTCCTTCCCCCCCGCTAGAGCACCAATGTTTTTGTTTGTGAACCCTGCCCATAGCTGCTAGGAAGTACAATTCACCAGCTTGCATAGTCAAGCTTGGGAAATTATAACGCGGTTTGAACGTTCTCATTTCCCCTCATCTCTCCCAAACCACGTGAAAACGGAACACAAAGCCTTCCTTTCGCCATGTTCAAGAAGAAACCCACTGTAAGTTGTTCAAGCCTACCCCTCATGGTCATCCATTATCACGCTCTGGCCCGCACCACCGAACGTCTTCCTTGCTAACATAGAAAAACTACAGTTCAAACCACTCTCCCCTCTCCGCTCTTCTGACCGGCGGAAGATAGCAGACCAGATTATCCAACAATTCAAAATCGAAATACCCACCACCCCCGCTGCCCCTTCGAAAGAGGAACACCCTGAGGTCCCGCAAAATGATGCCGCAACCAGCCTTACGGCGCTCCGCAAATCCCTTCTCCCAGAGAATACCATGTCCGCGCGGTTTGTGACTACCGCAGGACCCGACCTGACTCCTGTCCAGGGCACGGTCTATGTCGGTTCACATGCTGACGGTGGCGACGAGCGAATTCTCTGGGTACGCCCGGAGCAAGGTGCAGGCACTGATGGACGTCTATATCCTACGGTCTATACACTATGGCACCACCCGCGCCTCGTCCCTTTATTGCATACCCCAAGTCTAGTGATGGATAAGCTATACGGGGGCGCAGATCTGATGACTCCAGGCTTAGCCAATGGGCCACCGTTTCCTGAGCGGGCAGTCAAGGGGGAAATAGTCGCGGTCGCGAGCTTGGCGAAGCCTAGTGTGCCGACGTTCGTGGGTGTGTGCGAAATCGACGTGGCTGGGCTAGGCCAGGTGCAGGGGGCGAAGGGACATGCTGTTAAAGGGGTGACGTGGGAAGGGGATGAGCTGTGGAGTTGGGGTACTCTGGGAAGACCCGGTCAGCCGTCGCCGGAGCATATTGATGGTTGGCTGGATGATGGCACCAGAGTGGAAAAGGATTTCGAAGAATTGAGGTTGGAAGATGAGAAAGGTGATGTTGATGTCGACGGTGAGGAAGAAGGCGGTGTATCGCTGGGTGGGGATAAAGCGGAGGAAGACAACGCGATCCCAGAGGAACAATTGGAGGAACCGACTACCAAAGGTATGGGGTTTTTTTTTTTTTTTTTTTTTTTTTTTTTTTTTCCTCAGCTTTGTTGCACGGGTATACGGATATGGAAATCTAACTGCTATGCAGAAATTGAGGCGGTATTTCACAACGCATTCCTCTATTGCCTTTACCAACATAAAATTGACAACCCATCCACACCCCACCATGGAATTGCATTACCTATCCAAGCGTCTTTCTTGATATCTAACCTGATAACGCCATTCCTACCAATATTCTCACCTCATCAAGCTCAATTTTATAATATTAAAAAGACATCGTGGAAGAATGTGAAGAAATTCATCAAGCATCTTGACAAGGAAAAGCTGGTTAAAGCTAAAGACCGCAGCGGCGGCGAGACGATAATTTTGGATGTGGATTTTGATGACACCCGAGTTGTCAATTTCGTTCCATATAAACTTCCCAAAAAGAATAGCTCAGAAAGTGCTGCCAAATCTATTTCGTTGGGAGGAAATGACAAAGATTCTTCAACGGGGCAGTCATTCACCGTGAAAACACTATATCGACCAAGCGGAAAACTTACCCCCGTCTTATTCCCGCCGTTGTCGAACAGCGATGTGAATAACTACTACACGACCGCTGACGTTTCAAAACGACTCAACGATTATCTCACAGCCCAAGACCCTCCCATAATCTCCCCCACGAACCCACGCATTATATCCCTCAACCCATTCATCAGCAACACCATCCTCTCCTCCTCCGCCGATGATCTCGCAATTCTCAAACGCGGCACCATCCAACGTGATGCTATCCTCCGGCGCCTCCTCGAAGACCCTTCGCTCTGCGCCCCTTATCACGCCATGCTGAAGCCCGGCCAGACGCTCCACGACGTGAAGCCAAAGGCAGGCCCTGGACCCAAAGTCACAGTGACCATCGAGCGGCGCACGGGCTCAAAGGTGGTTACCAAGATTACCGGCTTAGAACCTTTCGGTGCCACGCCGCAGCTGTTGGCGGATGAGCTGCAGAAGAAGTGCTCGAGTAGCACGAGCGTTTCGCAAGCCGTAGGAGCGGCGAAGGGGGTGATGAGTGTGTTGGTTCAGGGCGATCATCGGAAACTTGTGGAAGCTGCGCTGGCTAATCGGGGGGTGAAGTCTCAGTGGATAGAGATTGTTGATAAGTCTCAAAAGAAGGGAGGCAGAGGAAACTGAAGATTCTGGGTGGTTTTGAGCGGATATATATACAGCGTATTTATGCAGATTATATATATCTTTGAATGACCGGGGATTGGAGCATTCTAGCCCTGTTTCATGACAAATTCAATGTTTAGTAGAGGGGTTTAAGGAGATGTACTGTACCCTTGATTTTGGGGTTTTGTTACAGTAAACAGGAGGCTCATTATATTTGCTACAGGCTTTGTACTCCGTACATGTACACATATAACGGCCCTGAACCTTAGCCGCTTGAGTTGATGCGCTGTGGCTGCCCTAACGGCCATGTTCACGTGAGGTAAGCCCCAACGTCGTCCCTAGCGTTGACCGGGGATATTTCAACATTTCAATCGCGCATGCTTAAATTATCTACATATATCTACTATGCATAACAAATTTAGCCATATGCGTTTTATTCTTGTAAAAGTCTAGACAGATCCGTCCTGAGCATCGAACTCGAGCTCTCGAGCGATCACTTTTTGCCCTCCGCCTCGATCGGATCTTGGCAATACTAAGCTTTGGAAATGTCACACGGAGCCAATTCAGCTTCGCGCTCCTTTCGTGCCCGCGCGGTAATATTGGCCTTTGGTTACTCATGTTTGAGGCTGCTGTACATTTGCTAACTTCTGTGTTTTAGTGCGAAAATTGTCGGCTGAGAAAGGTGCGATATTTCTAATTTCAGTACGCGTCTTACCGCAAGGGTCGTATGAGGTTGAGGGAACCCAACTGCCCTTCAAAGGAGCTAATGGAGTGAGTTCTAATTGGAGTCGGTCTAACATTTTCATTCAGATCAAATGTGACAAAGCCATTCCATGTTCCAGCTGCGGCACACTCGGCATCCCCTGCCAGGCCGCATCTTCAAGGCTAACAGAACGGCCTCGCGCTCCTCCAACCAACCAGCATGCCAGCCATCAGAATGCCGCTTCAGGGGCTTCCGGCATTAACCAAGCCAGCGAGAGAAACTGGGAGCTGATAGAAGACCGCCTTTCTGCGGTCGAAAAGAGCATTCAAGAGTTGTCACATCGTTCTGCCCCCGGTTCTGTGAATTCGTTAGACCATCATTCACCCTCCATATCCACCCAGTCGTCGTTGGAGATAACGACAGCTGCATTTGAAGGACAATCGTCCTTTGGTAGTGCAACGTTGCTAGCCAAGAAGGCTGCAGATATATCCGTTGCAAGAGTCCCCGGGAGCAAACTCGACGAGAACGTCTATAGAGCCCTCCTCTCGCTAAAAAGTAACCTAGATAAGCACCATCCATCTCCGCGTTCTTCTGAATCGACGGAAACTGCAAGCACAGCCGCATCGAATCTAAATCTGCCTCCGGTGGCCTTCGTAATTTCTCTCATCAGGAGAGTCAAAGGTTTGAACGAAGCCTAAAACCTCGCCGGAGAGAAAATTTGAGCAGCTAATATGACATCCAGAGCAACCGCCGTTCTTTCTTGTGAACAACTCTTGGAGAGATTACCTCCAGATCGAAAAACTATGTCAGAAAGTTTACTTTCCTTCTGAACCGATCACCGCAGGGTCAATTACCCTTATGCATGGTTTGCTTTATTTCATCATTCGGGACTACATGCACAGTGGGGACAGTTCGCTGTCTCAATCTGATTGCACCCTATATGCAGACATTTGTGAGAAAAGCTTTGTGCAGGGTTTGAAATCTTACGAAATGTTTGTCGGCCCGACCCTTGAAAAGGTCCAGGCTCTGCTCATTGGGGTAAGTTCCCATTCACACTCCCTTGCTGCCAGGCCCTGGCTAATTGTTCGCTCGTCAAAACAGGTTATTAAGTGTCAAGAAGAATCAAATCACCCGCTTTGCTGGACATATCTGTCAATCGCATTTGATATGTGTCAAAGCATGGGATATCACAGCAATTCGGAATTGAAAAACGATCCTTTCCCCGTTGCGGAGGAGAAGCGACACGTTTTCTGGAGATTGTACATGATCGACAAAAACCTCTCTCTTAACCTTGGCCGCACATCACATTTTCAAGACCATGATATCGATTGCGGAGTATTCATACCGTCAACTGACCCCCATCAAAGCCCTTGGGATCTAATGGCTCATGTGATCATTAAATTTTCAGCTATTCAGGGCCGAGTGTATGACAGGCTATATTCTGTTTCAGCATCGCAATCGTCACCGGAGGAAAAAATGCGGGTGATGGAACAGTTGTCTATCGAGCTGATTGAAGTGCGAAATGAACTCCTCAGGGTATGCAAGCTTACGCTCTCTCATCTGTCCTCCGTAGCTCCCTATTGATAACATTTATAGATCGACGTCAGTGGTGGCTATTATGCGGATTCATTGCAGGGAATGGCGGCCTGCGCTGAATTCATCACCTATTCAGTTTTAACCGTCATATACCGCGCCCAGATGTCGCCGAATGCTATGTCTATAAGTTCCAAGTGTTTAGAGGCAGCCAAGCTCGGTCTACAGAGTCACCTAAAGTGCTTTTCCTACTTCAGTGAACGCAAAAGCCACAAGCAGGCTGAATACGTAACCTGGTTAGCCGCCCTTAATTGAATTTCCAGATACAAGGTACTAAAAACGACCATTAACTGTAACTAGGATCCTTCTCTACCCTTCCTTCACCCCGTTCGTCATCGTCTTCACCCACGCAATTGCCGCCGGAGACTTAGAGGAGCTCTCCCTACTCAAAGAAACCGTCGGCTCGCTTGAACTGGTTAAGGATCTTTCCCGTGGCTCCCAACATCTCTACGAGATATGCAAAGCATTCCTCACCATTGCCCAGTCCTTGATTGATTCTCAACTAACCCTGAACGGCCTCGAACACCAAGACGACGGCTCGCTTGTACTACCTTTTATGACGGATGGCCAGACCCAGATCACTTTCCCGGATATCCCCTGGCCAGAAGATATGCACGATTTTAACATGGACAGTGCTGATATTTCTGTCTTTTTGAATGATTTCCTTGGTACGAACAGGCCCGGGACAGATATGCTCAGCTTGAACCTTACGTAACCGCGTAGCGGTCTCAAAGTTCCATTACCCCCCCCCCCCCCCCCCCCCGGGGTCCCCGGGGGCTCAAGGGATATGGCTGCAGGCAAACCATGAGGTGTTGCTGCGTGCCCCGGATTGGACCAGAATGTCAAATCTACCGAGTTCTTACGTCGGGCCAATGGCCTAAAAACCCTGGATTCAATTTCTGCGTATAACGATATATAAATCGCCTCCAATGTATCACTATAGTTTACAATTCCCCTTTCCCTTCTCGAGACATTTTCAAAACCATCAACGGTATGTGTACCGCTTTTAATAGAATTATTTAATTAACATTTCCTCCATACAGTACATGAAATGAACAACTCAAAGCGAAGGCAAGATACAATCATCAAGATACAATCATCAAATGCTGTCAGTTCTCCTCCCTGCGCGTGGTTTCCACAACAACGTAAAGCCAGCTGAAAACATCCATGGAATACCATTCTTCACCTTCGCTCTGAGCCGGGTGTATACCGCCATTTAGATGACATACTTTGCCCAAAAATTAGCTTCAGTTAATGTCACCAACAGAGTTTTTGGATTACTTACCGGAATAAATAGATACGGAACGCGGCGTTCATACTCCTCCCAAGCTGCGCCATATTTTGCGCGGCAGCGATGGATATTCCTTCGAGCCCGATGGATGATCATCACGGTGAAAAATACCGGATAGAACCAAGGGAAAGGCGAGTTAAACCCGGTAATTAAGCCCCAGCAGAAAGCAAAATAGAAGTCACAGGTGTAATGCAACTTGCGGGCCAGTCCGACTATTGAGAAATTCGCGTGTGAGTTGAAATTGCATGTGCAGCTGATTGGGGGGGAAAAAAGGGGGGGGGAAGGAAAAAGGCACTTACACCATCCACTGCATAAAAGAGAATCTCCTGTCTTGGTGCGGATACATTGTGGGTTTTTGGCAAATTTCCATGGGAGTTGCGGGAATGTTTTGCGATTCACCACGACACCATGTTCCCGCGCCCGGAATCCGTTCTTCTGGCTATTAGCTGTATCCCACACCCAATATACAAAGAGATACGAAGCATAGAGGAATGCCAAGGCCCAAGGCCCCCAGTTGTAGTCTGACGGATTGTTTTGCGCGAGGTATATTGTGCAGTGGCAGTACGTCATTGGGACGCCGGCCATATTCCAGAAGATCAGCAGGAAGCCAAGCTTCTCATGGTACATGTCCCTAACCAGATGCATTAGCTGACATAAAGCGACATAATAATGTCAAGGAACGCAGATGAGAACATACCAGCTGGTGATGATGAGTTCTTCACCCTTTGCGCATGCATTTGCATAAAGGAAATGGGCCATGAGGAGGAACCCGACCTCTCCAGACACATATCCGAGCTGTTCATACTGCCTTAAAGCCGCCCCAAGGGTGAAAAGGAAGAGGAAGTACCACGGGATCCGGACTTCGAGAAACATTTTGATATCCAACAGTCCAAACAAACGTGGATTGAGCTCTGCTCCCATGAAGAGATCGTAAAAGAAAGATCCGGTCATGCGATGTTGCACACCTCTCGCGATGGCCGAGAAGTACGCAACAAATGATAACAGAATCCCAGAGCAGATCGCTACGCTCATTATCGGTCCGAATTCATCGATGAGAGTATACAGCTTGAAGGTTCCTGATACATGCAAACCCACAGCGACTGCAATTGTCAAGTACCACGCCGAGATAGCTGAGCAGTAATAGTCAAGCTGTTTGCCGCCCAAGTGCGGCAGCCGCTTTCCCTTGCCATACACACCAGGGAGCAGAAGATAACCTGCGCCTTCCAGCACCATCAATGTCCAGTATATCGTCCAAGCTTTGCGATGCGGGAACGCATGGGTGTACACGAGATCCACGAGGTGTGCGAGGAACTCCCTGAAGCTCTGACCTTCTGCGCGGGAGGGAAATTGGCCGTCGTAGAACGTTGCCCCGATGTACATGTAGTACATGATCAAGGGGGATCCAATCATTATGACGCACGCACCCAACACACCTCCAAATTCAAACTCGGCTTCATCATCGAGTTTGCTCGCGGATGTCCCTGCGTCTTTTGTCGTGCTATCCGGCTGGATGCCATTGGTTTCCTTCTTGCCCTGGTGAAGCTCACTAAGTTTTGCCAATTCAACATTAGCATACATACACTTGATAACTCGTAATTATTGGAAAGCAAAGTGTTCTGTAGATGGGGAGATGGGTATAGATGCGAGTAAGTAATTACGGGGGTACTGCTAAACGCGTAGTTGTGCAGTACGTACCTCTTGGCCTCCTGAACCGCCATTCTTAATTTTTCTCTTCAAATTGCGCGCCAGAAGCAAAAGGAAAAGAATGCACCGACACTGCAAAAACGACTAGATAGATAAATATATATCCTGATTCGCGGGTATTTATTTGTTCATGCGCCTTTGGGCTGATAGTTGCAGTCTCCCCCTATCTGTTCCCGGGCGACCGCGGACTCCGTGGATTCCGTGGACTGCGGAAACGGCCCTTGGGATGTGGTCGCTTCTTCGATGCCTTATTTTGAACCGGGGATTTAAATTCAATGGTATCGCCTCAGTAGTAGAGGTTAATCTGCATGGAATATCCAGTTCCTGTGGGGTTGGGAACGCGGATAGATCAATATAAGGAGGCCGCGATATTTTGCTCTCCAATATCCGAGGTTTCCCCGGACGGATTATGTAGTTTTCAAAAAGCACAGCGAGCAGGACAACAAAAAAATATATTAATTTGCCTCAGTAACGAATGGACACAGATTAATTTTAATAAGAAAACGAAAATCTGTGGGAAACGTCCACACATATGTCCTTTAGCAAAAGGCCGTTAGATCTGCGTTTCTCCGATGTCTTGTGGCGCAACACGGAGCTCGATTGGATCCGCCTGCTACTTTTAAGGTTCATCCAAGAGATGTCCAAAACATTGTTATGAGCTCTGCTCTTTTCCTGTGTAGATTGTTGTTTGGACTAATGGCCGTGAGACTTTGAAGGATGGGGTAGGACGAGATCATCATCAACAGATTTCGATTCGGACCATCGGGTTCTGATGAATGGGGGTGGATTTACTGCTTGATATCAACAGGTGCTGAACTCTTTTGCAATAAATATTCCAATAAATATCCAATGTAGCACCAATTGAAGGGATGTCTCCATGGTCACCTTCCCCCCCACCCAAAAAAAAAAAAAAAAAAAAAAAAAAAAAGTGTTGGTAGGCAGAGAGAAAAGAGATAAGATGAGACAGAGCACACTGGCTGGTCTGGTCTGGCACAACCGCTGCCGGCTTGCCAATGGCATTCCCACCAAATAAACCGCCAGCCAAGGGCGATTTTCTCTCCATTTTGATATCTCTTCCTCCGACAGGCTGAGTTCAACGGATTTTTGACTGCTTGGCGGGGGGCGGGTAGGAGCATTCCATGGGAACGACATAGGCCGGCCTACGGAGTACAGTCTGCAGTAGGTAGTCTACATATTTTCCAGGTTGGCGTGCAAGGTTCCTCATGTCGTATGGCAAAACATCAGCGGGGAAAAATTGTTAAATTCATAGAAACATGTAGTTATATCAATATATTGTGTAGAGCCGATAATGGGACAATACATAGCTCAATCCATCCCAAGCCTGTTGCTGCGATCCTGTTTGGCACGGCCGATTTTGCGGAGAGTGTCCAGTAGTAATAATGTTGATTCATTGTAGGAGAAAAATTGGCCCAAGTCTCTCCTTGAAGCACGGATTTTTGATGTTGTTGTCTGCCTTGGTCTGCTTGAGCCAATCGCTCTCATCAAGGCCACACACACTGTGGCTAAAATATTCGGCTGTGATACGGCGCATGCATGCCTCATTTTTGAGTGTCCAGGCGACAAAAAAAAAAAAAAAGAAAAGAAAGGAAAAGAAAGGAAAAATAAGCAGGTGAGAAAACACCAGTTCGCTGGGTAACTTTTGTGTTGAAGCGGAGGCCAAAACCACTCCACCCGCCCGCAAGGCGGGAAAATTCCCATGGATAGAGAGGCTTCATGAAGCATTCATGAGCTGCTGCAAGATGTACATTTCTGTTCCTCCTTCTGCTTTCTCTCTTTTAACTGAGCAGAATAAATGCCGGAATCAAGGCGATATAGATATGGTGTGGATGCGGTTAGTGTTATGCGAAATAAAAAATAAATCCCAGGAGGTTGGTTCAGTCCTGGCTACTACTGGGGGGGGGGGGCCCGGTTTTATTTGAAATTTTGTTCTATCTTGCCAGGATCCCTTTCCCGAGACAACGTTTCTCGGGATGATAAAGATCCCAATCCAGTGGCATTGGCTTCGATCACCGCGCTAGAAACAAAACACCTTTTGTTCTCCGCTACAATCAATTGCTCATGGCAGCAACTCTCGGATGCTGTAGGCATTGCTCAGGAAAGAAGCTACATCGCAACGTGCCACATCATTTGCAACCTACAAAAAGGACCCAACACTCAGGCTCAAACTGTGCGTTTCAATCCAAACCAAACTCGGACAGGAGGTTACCAACATACTGTGTATACATAATAATTACATGGATGTACGGAGTATTTGCTTGGCCATCCATCGGCAATGATGACACCAAATCAAATCGTTCCCCAGCGGGACGGAAGCGGCCCGCTATGGCCCGATTATCTATCTGCCTCCTTTGTGCGAGGTACGGGTTGGGTTGACATGAAAAGGTTCTACCAACCCATCTCTATATCCTGTTCCATTTTCTCTCTCTCTCTCTCTCTCTCTCTCTCTGCGCGAGATAAAAGCACACCTATGCCAGAGTATACTCCATAGCCGTGCTAATAACAGACGTCACAAAGCTGCATACTTACCCGCCAGCTTGGAATAGAGCGCGGACCTAAAAACAGAGCAGTGGGGGTGCGGATCGCGGTTATGACAAACATGTTACATGATGTTACATGTACATACATGTGCATACATATACACATAGTATTATAGATATAACATGGACGACAATAACAGGAGAGCAGAGCGGGGTTTCTCTAGCTTATAATTCAGCACTAATTTCAGCAACGGTGCATGTAGGAAAGAAACAAACAAGCAACTCTTTGCATACATTTACAGAGAAAACCAGTAACTTGACAAAATTGATTGCTCAGAATCATGCTCTGATTATTTTTTAACATATATGATAGTTATGCACAGCTTGCAGCACAATCTACACAGATTCAGCTATATCTCATATCACCCAGACAACTTCTTCAGAGTGATTGCTGAACATACAATTTTTGATGTAAATTCCTGCACTGAATCTGAGAGGTGGGTGCATGATGAGTGAGAAGAGCATATAGAAGTTTACAAGACTCTGATCAAAAATTCAACTAGTGATATAAAAACATGAAAATGAGTAAAGATGACAGAAGACATGAATTAGTATATATTGCATGTGCTGAATAAACTAATAAATTCTGATAATGATTAGTTACTGCTCATGGCTCTGATCTCTCTCTCTCTTTTCTCTCTAAAATCTCTTCTGGCACTCTCTTCTTAACAGGTTCCACTGTTCCAAAGACCCAGGTGAAAACAGGCAACATATATCAATCATCAAATCAAATCAAATCAAGCTTGACATGAGAATTAAAGCCAAGAAAGACAAAAGGAATTCTCCAGTTTCTCCCGTTCTCCAAGACCTGGCTCTAAGTCTAGAACGCGACAGAAGAGCCGGGCGGCCATTGCACGGTACGGTACAGCTTTTGATGATGGTGGGGGGTCCATGTCATATCAGAAACAAGAATAATAATAATAATAATAATGGAAAACTACATAGTTATGTGTTGAGGAGTTTCAAGAACGTACGTAGGTGAGGTGGAGCCGTCTTGGCTTCGGATCCTTGATCCTTGTTGGAGGAGAAGAGGTGGGAGATTTGTCTAATTTTGACTTCATGTTGGGAGGAAGGACACACACACACACAGAGAGAGAAAGAGAGAGAGAGAGAGATACTCTCTCTTCCCTGCCTGCTTCTGCTATTCTTCTTTTTTCCTTTTTTCCTTTTTTAAAAATCCTCATTCCAACCGACTTTTCCCGCGCGGTTAAGGAACCCTAAGCGGGGGGGGGGGAGGGGGCGGTATCTGTAAATACATATATATATATGGCCTTCTTCCAGATTCAAGAATAAAGGCTGGCTCAGCTTCTTCCTCCATAACATTTGTGAGGAATGTGGCACCCTGCACACGTGCATACATAAACTACAGAATATTATTAGAATATTATTGCGCATGCAATACCTAGGTAAGGAGAACATATGATACCCCCCCCCCAGGTTCGAAACAGGCTAGGTAAGTAAGTGCAGGTACAGTACAGAGAGAGTCCACACGGACAGTTTCGAATCAGATAAACGAGAAGAGAAGAGAAGAGAAGAGAAGAATAGAAATATATGTTTCTCTGGAGGGGGAAAGAAGAAGAAGAGTAATTAATATCTCCTACTTACAGTAGTAACCTTGCCTTACCGTTCGACAAGGCGGGGAGTGGAGTTGGAAGGATAGATAACTCCGTAGGTATGGATGGTATGGTATGGTATGGTATAAGAAGCACAAGCACCGAAAATAAAACAATAAAAAAGGAAAAAGATTAAGTTACCCCCAATGAACCCCCATCATCCCAGCAGCATGGTGAATCAAACAAGCCACTGCATGAATGAGAGTGATGGGATCTTATTATTGTTGCTCTCTGCCTATCAGTAGTGTCTGGGGAATAATAAATATTAATACAAGCGTAATTGTAGCGGCAGAGGATAGAGTTTATTCAAGCCCTGATAATGCAAAATGCAAAAGATCGATGGGATGGGATGGGATGGGAAGGGAACAAAGAAAACCACAAAAGAACAGGAAGCTAGGGAATACAGTACTGTACTGCGTAATAAATACATAACAAACAATATTAATACATAGTACTTTCTTTGTAATGCTGACAGGGCTGGAAACAAAGTGATTGTGAGTGAGCAAGAATAATAATCTTGGAGTTGCTGTAGTTAACTAACTACTCCGTAGTAAAATTTATTAAATGGGAGATCCGTGGGATATCGTATCCTGCGTGTATTGGGGTGGTTGAATTTTTTTTTTTTTTTCCCTAACCCTACCCTCCGATCTTTGATGTGTAACACCAATAATAATAAATGACGATATGTATGAGATCTTCTCGAAATGAAGAGCCCACTGGAGAAATCCAATAATAAATAGAGCCTTACTTTAGGTGGGTGGTGTGGAGAAAATAGTTTGTCAGATAGAAATGCGTAGAGTAGCAGGGGGGGGGTTTTATTTTTAATCCCACAATCCCACAATCCCACAATCCCACAATCCCACAAGCAACGTTCAACTTCATCCGCTTCCCCCATACCTACCCATACCTACCCCCGGGGTGGTGGGCAGACCTTGTGACGGGGGGGAATGTGTGCGGAGTAAGGTCGGGTTAGCCATGCTAGCTAGTACTCCATAGTTACGCAGTAGTAGGTACTTACTTACTACTACTACTAGTGTGTCGTCGGTGGCTGTAAGTTGTAATAACCTGACATGGCGAATCATGGCGAATCATGGAAGGAGAGATGTCCGGTGTGGCCCGATGTGGTGGCCCGATGTGGTCCCGTGTGGTCCATATGGCCCAGTATGGCCCAGTGTGGCGGCGCCCAGTCCCCAGCAGTGAACAGACTTAATAATAAAATAGTTGTGTGGGTTGTCAGGAGAAAGGCGGATGCCGGACTGGACGGGTTGGACGGGGGTTGGACGGGTTGGCGGGTTGGCGGGTGGTGGGTTCCGGAGTCCAGTCCAGTCCGGGCTAGGGAGGGCTAGGGGGGGGGTGGGTGGCCATGCATATATACCATATACCGTATCAGCATTATTATTACCGTTATACTCGCTTCTGCTAAGATGAGGATATTCTGTGTATTCTCTAATCAAATAATATCAATAATAATATTAAATATATATGTACAGAAATCCCAATGTCTTCCCATCTTCTTTTCCCCGTGATCATTATAATGGGTCCAACAGCGAAATGAAAAATAACCAGTTACGGAGTAGTTGCACAGAAACGGCATAGTGGAACGCCGACCGGGCTTCCTGCAGGCGAGGCGAGGTGGTAGGTATGGTATGGTATGCGCAATCGGGACAAGAAGTCTAAATAATTAATAATAAGCTGATTTTGATTTTTGATTTTGATTGTGACGAATGGTTCGGTTCGGTTGATTTTGGTTCGCGGTCGGACAGGTTGCACCGGCCGGTGGCACAAGTTGGACCCGGGGCCTTGGGACGGAGCAAAAAAAAAAAAAAAAAAAAAAAAGGAAAAAAAGGGAAAAAAGGGAAAAAAGGGAAAAAAGGGAAAAAAGGGAAAAAGAAAAGAAAAAAAGGAAAAACAGGAAAAAAAACAAGGGTTGCTGGAATCTGGAATGCCCCAACTCCACTTGCTTGGAACCGAACCGTGAATACTTTACCGAGATGTAACTACGCTGTGAAGAATAAGTGTGTACTCCGTGTAGTTAACTAGTTATATGAATAATATTAAATAAATGAGAAACGTGGTTTGATTGATGGAAGCGACGACGTCTCACATTTGGGTTTGGATAAAGTCCCTGTAATTTATGTTGTTAGTTCGCTTCTTTTTGTTACTACTCTAATACAGGTACAGTATCTTTTATCATGTTAATTAATATTATCACCCCGTGATATTAAAGTGATATTAAATGGGAGAATCAGAATATTATCATCATATGGAGTAGTTACTGCGTACAGGCAGGCAGGACAAGCTATACAAGAAGATAACAACAAAAATGATGAGGAATTAATTATTCTGAAAATATCAGCAGCTGCCGAGCTCTCTTCCGCTTCCTTCTTCTGTTTCCTTCCCCCCTTGCATCGAATCGACCAGACAGGCTGAGATGAAACTTAGTTATATATAAATAATAAGTGCTTGATACTAGGTGTATTCCATTCCAGCCGGACATGATTTAGCTGCATTCGAGAGGCGAATCCCAGCTCTCTTGGACCCTTTCTTTCGCCTCTCCTCTCCTCCTCCTCTCTCCTCCCTCCTCTTCCTCTCTCCTCTTCCTTCTCTCCTCTTTTTTAGACACTTTAACGCGTAAACCCGTAAACTTATTACGGCGCCGGCGCTTTATTACTAGGGGAGACCGGGGCTAGTTAGAACCTAGCTAGCAGGAGGCTTGCACGGACTAACTGTGTAGGCCTGTTCGTTCGCCCTCAATTCTGGCGGGTACAAGTAACTTACAGGACAGGGCCGCCGTCGCTTCTTCGTCGTCGTCGTATTCTTCTTCTGATTCTTCTTCTTCTTCTTCTTCTTCTTCTTCTTTTCAATTCATTCTCTTTTGTTCCGAAGACTTTCTTCTACCTCCTTCTTTTTCTCCATGTCAGGCAATCCTGTCTCTTGAACATCCAACAACAACGACCAAAACACAAGCGACAATACACAAACTACAACTAACAACTACTCCTACTCCTACAAAATCTATTCAAACAACAGCATAACATAGCCACCCCGAGTTGTTGTTGTGTGCGCTGATGCAAATGATCATCTGATTCTCTCTCTCTCTCTCTCTCGACAAAAAAACCATGCTCGAGAATTAAAAGGGCCGGGAAAATATAATTGAAAAGAAGAAAAATAAAAGGAGAAAAAAAATATAATAAAACATCCCAAATCCTATTCCGACCGTTATCCGTTCGTTCTCCCTATTTCCTTATTGTCCGCCATCCCCACATTCAACCACATTCAAGTTCACGCCCAAACGTCTTTCGTATGCGCTGTTTGCATCGCTCCTGAATTCTACTTGCTTGTATCCAGACCCTGTCGGCGTTGTGACAATTATAGCACAACACTTCACAGCCGATAGCGCATTGAATCGGTCTTTATCATCTATCGATAATCTACTTATCGTTCAGCTGCTTTTCTGGCGGATGTGGTAGTGGTTGGTACTCGATCTTCACTTTGAATACTTCATTATCGGATCGACAATTATTATTATGATTATTTTGTCAAAAAAAAAAGTCCATTTATTGATTTTTCAATTCTTCATTTCTATACCATTCGTCTGTGGAAGTCAGAGAACTAATCAGGTCATATAGGATATTTTCGTTTGATATATAGCAGACTCCTTTTTGCCCGTCATGGCTACAAAGGCGTCTATCCTACACCCTCCAAACGAGACCGAGCATACCATGTCTCGCGTCACCCAGGAGGGCAAAAAACTCACCTACCACCTCAAGGTCATTCAGCAGCCTGAGCGCGCCAGAGCATGTGGTGCTGGAGCGAAATGTGAGTCGTCAAAGATGTTGCGAAAATATTAACGGTTGGATGCTGACTATCTCCACCAGCCTCTGCGGACCGCCGACCTGTTGACCCGCCGCCAGTGGTCGAATTGCGCGTGTACGAATCAGACCTAAATGATCAGCACAAAACAGATGTCACTTTTAGCTACAATGCCAACTTCTTTCTGTTTGCGACCCTCGAGTGGGCACGACCAATTGCCCATGGCAGAGTCCAGACGCAGACCCCTTCCTGTCCCGTGCTGACAGGCGTGCCCGTTGCGGGCATTGCATATCTGGATCGACCAACCCAGGCGGGATACTTCATCTTCCCTGATCTTTCCGTCCGTCACGAGGGCCTGTACCGGTTAAACTTCAACTTGTATGAGGAAATGAAGGAACCCAAGCATGCCGATAAAGGTGGACTAGTACCACACCACCCGCAGCACCATCTGGTGCCGTCCACGCCGTCGAAACCCCGTTCACCGCATCAGTTCCTCCACTTCCGTTTGGTTGTCAAATCCGTCCCGTTCACCGTTTACAGCGCGAAGAAGTTCCCTGGCCTGGCCGAGAGTACCACGTTGAGTCGCATCGTGGCAGAGCAAGGTTGCCGTGTCCGGATCCGCCGCGATGTTCGTATGCGTCGTCGCGAACCGAAACCCAACAAGGACTATGGTGCCTACGACGACAGGCATAGGGCCACCCCAGATCCATACCCGGGAACTCCTATCGAACGTCCACGCTCGACGAGCAACGCCTCCATCGACGACCCTTACAGATACCCCACAGCACCACCACAGGTCCAACCGAGTCCCGAGTACGGCTACCATCATCCATCTCATCAGCAACCCTCTCCTGTCCCTACCGCAGCTCCGCACTTACTTCTATCCTTTGGCGCCCATGCACAATATCACGTTCCTCCCCCGCCACTACACGCCGCCGCCGCACACCCCGCTGCACCATCCACTGCCTATCCTTCTCCCCATCTTGGTTACGTACATACCCGACAAATCTCTGGCGGTTCAGAGTACGACCCCCTCGGGCAAAAATATTCCCAGTACCCACCTACCAGCCCTCACTCGGATGTATACGACCAATCGAAGCCTTCTATGCCCATGAACCCATCAATGGATCACCCCCCCTACCAGCAAATGTCCTACGACCAACGCCTCGCAGATCCAAAACTTTATAACCCACCATCTCAACTCCTCCACGCTCCTCCTCCTCAACAACAACAACATCAACAACAACAACAACATCAACATCAACATCAACATCAACCACCCCCATCCTCAGCAGGAGTAGCACAAACCACCCCGCACCGAACTCCCGCCAAACCAACAATCCTCCCACCAACCCCATCCTGCCTCTCCGTCGAAATCGACCCCGCCGCCGAAGCCGACGACACAATCTTCAGCGCCACGCGCACCCGCCGCGGCTGGGTCCTGGACGAGAAGCCCGGCCCCGCAAAGCGCACCCGCGACACCTCCGAGCACGACCACCAGCCCCTGCGCAACGGCCAGCGGCCTGTCATGTCCGGCGACGAAAGGGGCAGCGGCGAACTCAGCGAGACGTCTGGCGGGTCTGACGACGAGGTGATGATGTACCGGCGGGCGGATGGGCGGACGGTGTGGAAGCACCGCGCGTCGGCGAATTCGAAGGGGAAGGAGGTTAATACTCCGCGCGATTTGGATTTGGTTCCTAGGCGGGCGGAGGTGTGTCCTCTTCTTGAGTAAAAAAAAAAAAAGGGGGGGGGGGGGGTTGGTAGTTGGCTGTATTGAGGGAGGGGGTTCTATGGATGGGGAATGAATAAGAGAGGGAAATGACCCAAATCGTCGTTCGATTATGGGCACAGAAATCGCTTCTCCAGCTTCCTTCTCCGGTACTACCGACGGAAATCGTTATCTCGACTCGAAACAACCACCACATCATTTATAAAAGCCACCTTTGAACTTTCCAAGGTGATATGATATGTATCTTTATCAACCCAAGATCGATCAAACCCCCTCAAATCCATCCGAACCCAAATCTATCCGGATCTCTCGGCTAGCCTTTTATTCCCCTCTCCTCTACCACACCCATCTCGCATCTTTGCATCTTACGCGGCTTTTCATTCTATATTTTTTAACTTAACAACCAATCTGTCGGATACCACCTCCTTCCTTCTTTCTTCCTTCCTCTTTCTTTTATCTTTTTATCTACTTGTCATTTTATTTCATTTTATTTATCTCAAATATACTCCAGTGTTTCACACCTCCCCCAACACCCCCCGTTTCCTTCGTTCAATTTTTTTTTTTCTCTCTTCACACACACATGCCATGTATTCTTCCCTTCCCCTCACTGTTTTAACTGTTCATATATCCCCCCCCCCCCCCTTTCTTCCTCCCTTGCCTTTATTTTCTTTGCTCTGTTCCTATCAGTTATCAGTTTCCTATTTGTTGGTCTGTGTTATTTTTTTTTACCCCTGCTTATCCAACCCCTTGCCTCTCCTACTCCCGCCCGCTCGTTTGTGGTGGAGGATATTCCATCGCACTATATATATATATATGTATACATCATACCCGGCAAACGCGCACACCCTCTCCCACACACGTCACAATGATAATCGCAAATTGGCAAATTTCTGTTTCTTATCTACATTATTTGCAATTATGAAGGCCTTGTATCTGGAGAGAAGAGATGGGGAGAATGGGGAGAGAGAGGACTGGACGAAAAGAGAGGGGAAAAAAAGCACGGCAGGCCATTGTAATGTACATACCTGGGACTCCCGGGTATGTGGGCTAATTGTTCCTTTTTTTTTTTTTTTTTTTTTTTTTTTTTTTTTTTTTTTTTTTTTTTTTTATCTTCTACTTCTACCTGGTGTCTTTTATTTACTCTTGCCATTTCCTTTAATTTTTCTTTTAATTTTGTTATTTACTCTTATCGTGGCTCTATCTATCTAGCTCATCTCAAAGTTCTGCTGTTTCTTGCATACTATCTAAGTATACCTTACTCTACTTACTCTATCTAAGGTAACAATCATTTTTTTTTATCACCTCATTTCTTTCCTCAGGTATTTCTCTTCTCTTCTCTTCTCATCTTCATCTTCTTCTTCTTCCTCTTTTCTCAGAAAGAGATGAAATTGTATATGAATGAGATTTGGTAAAAAAAAAATACATAAAATGAAATATATATATATATTTTGAAAATATTATTTAAAAGGAATAAATATACATACACCAATCAATTCATAACTTTGTAGTTTATTGATAGTTTGAGTGAGTTGCGGTATTTATTTTAATACATGCATAGGCTGGGCTGAGAGAAATAGTTCATTATTATCAAGGGAATCAAACATTATGTATTATGTATGTATTGTACTATATTATTATTATTATTACAAGCCTCAATCGCTCGCTTGCGCTTGCTTATTCAGCTTGAAAAACGCGCTGTTTAATCTCTCAGATGAATGTAATGAGATATGAACAACTGCACATGACTTGTATAGATGAATTTCATGTAGTTCACAGCTGTTAATATATTAATAGAGAACAATGTCACGCTCCCGGCCGCGCCAAGGCCCCGTTGCGGTTCCACACGGCTCATCGCTTCCATGCGGATGATTCCATCCATCCCGCAGGCCGTCCGAACCGGTTTCCAACCACTCTATGACATCATGCGGATGTATCATAGGAAGATCCGATTGATGGGTATGAGAACCCCACTTCTATACAAGATCAGCAGATTACTCTTCCTTGGCAATGAGGCGCCGCTGAGGTATCACTCCAGCTATTCTCACTCATGGAATGGAAGAAGGATATCCACCCATTGTCTATATAGAATAGCTAGATACTGGCTCCTTATTAAAGAAGTCAGTGATTTGTCTTTTTCTTCTACTGAAATATATATGAGAGTTACTGTATATCTCATACAATCTTCTTAGTATACTAAGTATCATATCTGTGATATTCTCATAATAATCTTATAGTCTATGAGCTCACTATTCAAGCAAGATAGTCAAGCTCACTTATACAGCTTCTTAAACAACTACTTCTATATAATATCACTGACTAGTCATCACTTCAGTTTCATCATGTTATAATTCAAATCACTCAATCTGATTACATATTTGAATCAGTCAAGCTCTAACTAACTGATATAGTCTTATATATCTGCACTGAGACTGATCTGATCTCATTCTCTGAGAGAAACACTACATCATTCTCTAGAGTATTGTAAGAAATCCCGCTTCTCGCGGATTCTTTACCTCTATTCCTATCTCTCATGTAATTAATAGAGCTAGCGGCCCTTGACTACACACAACTATATAAACTGGAGTTCATGAATACTATTCACAACTCAGCTTAAATACTATTATACATTTAATCTCTATATTTATCTTTCTACTGTGAACACTTCTAGTAGTTAACAGTACATATCATGTCAAGCTGCAAACACCTGAATAATCATCTGTGAGTACTTATTCTTACATTTCAAGCTCAGTCAGTCAGCAACTGCTTATTATAACTAAAAGAACTAGAAATTTATATACTTCAATTTCTGTGAATTCTACTGCAGACACTCAGAAGCAGTCATCTGAATTATGAATAATCTTTATAAAAGAAGTCTCAGAGAACTTATTAATCACTCATAGAATATCATTCTCTATATCTATAATAGAGAAATTCTCTGAACTCATAAATAAATCAATCTCAGTGAAGAATATTCTTAAGTATCTTCTATAGAATCAAGCTATTTTTCTATAAGAAATACTTACTATTTATAAACACTTTTAAACTAAGTCTCTAGATATAATCTTCAGAGACATCTGTGAACTGAAAAGAAACTTTCTTAAGTTATAATTACTTAAAACTATCTATTGAATTACAATCTATAAAAGCTTTTACAAGTTTGTATTTAAAATTGACTTATAAGCCTGACTGTGTGATATGAAAGATGAAGAAGCTGTTATCTATATAATAACAGATCTCTATTACACTGAAGTTAAGAACTAGCTGAACTATTTAGAGAATGATTATAAGAGATTCTGATAATCTATTCTCAAGATCTATTTAAAGAATAAGTTAAGAGACTTTATAAGCTGAACAGAGAATATCTGAGCTGTAATCATTAATATTAGAAAAAGAGATAAGAAATCTGATAAAGACTACTTATGATACTTTATAAAATTATGATATGAATTAAAATCTGTGAAAACAGAGCTCTGAAACAAGATCTGAATAATAATATTTATAAAGAAATTGAATAAAGATATATAGAATAAGCTCATTAAGTAAGACTCTAAGCTCTTGACTCTGAAGAAACTGATGACTCTTATTCATCACTTACAGATCACTGTGAGAGTCACAGATTTATAGAGAATGAATTATCAATCAGCTCTGTAAGAGTCAGAATAACAGAGAATAGATTTATTAGAAAAAGATAATAAGATACAGAGAGATTTATATCTGACTGCTAAGTAAAGAGAGAGAGCTTCATAAGCTCTTATAAATAGAGTATATAATAGAGAGATTAAGAAAAAGAGACTCTACTTCATCTATTCTAAATTAGAATATCTTTATATAAACTATCTGAATAAATTAAAATAGAAATTTAAGAAGTTATAGACAGAGTTAGTAACAGTCTTCTTAAGAATCTTGAAGCTGACATCTGAATCTGTTACTCTTTCAATGAAAATACTTGTTTATAAGAAGAGACTGCACTGTGATACTGCTATCTCATAAGTATGAAAAGTATTGATAAACTCAGAATCTCAGATCACTGTAATGTTTCTAAAGCTTGCAGAGTGAATAAGCTGAAAGATGAAGACTGAGAATCTACTCTTATAATAAGCAGAGTATGAGAACTCAGATCTGAGAGCTGAGAAACTTATAAGAGTTATCTTTGAATTGCAAGATCTCTCTGAAATCTGAAGAAGATTTATAGAAACTGTAATTATTATAAATATTATAGATAATATGTATTTAAGACTTGTATAACTTCAAAGACATAATTCACACATAGCTGTTTATAAGTCAGGTTTATACTTTCAATCAGTGTTGACAGATTCACTTATAAAGATAGAAATAGTTAATACTGCAGAGTTGATTAGAGAAGACAAGCTCATCTATATAATAACTTTACAAGTGTCTGAGAATCTTGCAGTCATGAAAACTGAGCTTCAGATATCAGAGAAATACTGAGATCTTACAGAGATATTTAGCTCAGTTAAGACAGCTGAGCTTTCTTCTCATCATAAGAAGAATCTGATAATAGATTTGATAGAAGAGTAGAAACTCTTCTGAGAATCAATCTATAAACTCTCTTATTATAAGACAGAGATTTTACAGATCTATATGAAAAAGAATCTGAAGAATAACTTTATTCAATCTTCACAGATCTCTGTGAAAGTCTCTGTGATATTTGTAAAGAAGAAGAATAAAGATCTCAGATTGTATATAGACTATTATAATCTGAACTCTAAGATAATAAAGAGCTGCTATTCTCTATCTCTGATTGAGAATGTAATTAACTGTCTTATAAAAGCTATCATATTCACATAACTGAATGTAATTAATATATATATATGACTGTGAATACAGTCTGAGAATGAATAAAAGACTATCTTTAAAACTGCACTGAGATTGTTTAAATATTTAGTAATATCTTTTAATCTGACTAATATTCTTACAGTATTTCAGTCTTTCATTAATAAAATACTTCATATATATCTGAATATCTTTATAATAATATATCTGAATG